TGACATTTTGGAACTGCTACTCTATGGCTTTGTCCGAAACTTGGGGACTCAAATTTTCATGGTTTCACCATGTTTCACCCCTTCATTTTCCCCCTTTGCAATTTGAGTTTTGGGTATCCCTGTGTTAGACACATCCATATATCTTCATCTCCGGTCTCTACAGCTCCACCTGGTCCCATTGTTTAAAAATGTCGAAGCGGTTGCGAATCACCGCAGGGATGCCATTGCCGCCGTCTTTCAAGTTATTCTGAGCTGACTCGAACACGGCAATACCTGCCGATGTTGTCGTGGTGCGGCTGACGACAGTCAGAATTTTGAAGAACCGTGTGAAGGCGGAAAATAAGGCAAACCTCACTAGCTGTCCATTTCTATGAAAAGAAACTGCATTTGGACATTGTGACCATTGTGTATGCAATGCATGGTGAATATATGCATACTGTATATCAGTGCACGCCCCTCTCTCTCTCTCTCTGTGTTTTTGTGTCCATTGTCGTGTGCTTGATTGTATAGACCAGGGCTTTGCCCGGGCATTCTAGTGGGTATTCCCATCTAACCAGAGGGTCCAATCAGCAACCAGGTTTCGACTTATCTTGGACAAGATGTTCTTAATCTTGGTATAAATCTTGGCATGTGTTGGAACCGCCACCGCATCATTCTTGATACGGAATCAAGGCAAAAAGATCTCCCCGCAGTTTTACATTGATTTGCCATGATTTACCTGTTTCACCCATCCAAGCATAGATATACCATGATATATCCACCTAAAAAATCCAATCATTCGCCATACAAGGGGCCTTGTTGTAAACCTACCCTCTGGTAAACTAACATAGCTATTGAAAATGGCCATTTATAGTGGATTTACCAATTAAAAATGGTGATTTTCCATAGTTATGTTAGTTTACCAGAGGGTACCTATCGTTGCTGGGTCCCAACTAATGACCAATGATGGGATTTAAGGGCTTCCATCGACATCCGAGAAACTGTTCTCGACATCTCCTACAGTCACGTTCAGGTTCGCCTTCCTGGGACTGGGAAAAACTAGCGCCATAAGAGTGGGGTTTAATGAAGTTTAATGTGGTACTGCCAAAATTTTGACCATATTTTGACCATATGTCATCATATGTCACCAACAGAATCTAACATGATATACATATATACTGAAAAAGGTGTAACCATGCAGCTGGGAGGGGTCAAGTTAGTAGGGTAATCTGGATGCGCGGCCCACGACAACTGGCCATGCATGACCATGCAATCTACATGCAAACATTGATGTTCTCATTTTAGATCTCCTTTTCAGATCCGATTCGATAGCAAACCATTTCGAGAACCCTTGATCCACTCTGTTCGACCTTGGAGGTTTCGCAAGTCTGAAGTTTTAGCCACCCAAAACGGATTCTACCAAAAAATCCTCCACCAGCCACACGACCGAATGCTGGCGCAATCCTTCCCGATGCTTTGCAAGTTGGCTACGGGTCAGTTTAATTACATTTGTCCCCCAAAATATACAGATTTATCTAAATCTGATGACCTTCATTAAATTTATATATATATACACTATTTTTCTTAATTATACTATATGATATGTTATTTGAAATATGTGGGTCTCCGAAAATCGATCGACTACGACCTTGGCGCCCATCGATCCCAGCTGCAGCATGAGACTTTCTTTGAAGATCTGCCAGGCCAACATGATTTGCTGGCTGGCCATATCAATCCGCAGGACCGGCTTGTTGGGATTCGCGCCCTTGGGCAACACATGGCTTTTTGTCATAGAAAAAACAAAAGGGACAATGAAAGTCATGAAAAAAACCTGGGAAAATGGGAAAACCCATGGGTTTTCAGTAGATATTTAGCTACATGGCTGGATGATTTTGTTGGGACCGATGGATCCAATCCATCCATCCGAACCCAATCTGTTCCAATCTAATCAGAGCGAATCTACACAATGCATTCTAAATCAATCTAATCAATCCTATTATAATCAAGTCTAATCCAATCTATTATCATGAAGTCTAATCCAATCTATCTATATACATATATATTATACTATACATTATATATTATATATTATATATATACACTGTAATATAAAATATATTATGCATTATATATTATATATGATACATTGTATATCATATATCATATATTATAATTTATCGATTATAATCTATAATGTATCATGTATAATAAATAATAAATTATATATTATACATGATACATTATATATTATATATCAGGGATTATGCATTATGCATTATATATTGTGTATTAAATATTATATGCTAAATATTATACATTATGCATTATATATTACACATTATACATTACACATTATACATTATATATTATATAGTGTATATGTTATATTATATCATATAGTAAAAATTATAGATTACATATTATGTATAATATATGGTACATTATATATGTATTATATATTATACAATATACATTGTATAAAATACAATATATTATTTATACATTCTACATATTATAATATATTATAATATATTATATATATTATATATATTATAATATATTATATATATTATAATATATTATAATATATTATATATATTATAATATATTATATATATTATAATATATTATATATATTATAATATATTATATATATTATAAAACATTATAATATTATATATATAGCATAATATATTATAATATATTATATATTAGATATATTAAAATATATTATATATTAGATATTATATACGTTACATTTATACATTAAAAATTAAATATCATATATTGTGTATTAAATATTATATATTATATATCATTACATGTTATATATTATACATTATATATTGTACATTATACATTATATATTATATATACATTGTATATATATATATGTAATATATATATATATGTAATATATATATACCACGATTACAGTCGTGTACAACTGGACCAACTGAGAGACATCCCCTTCGCACCACCAAGGGGCTAGGGCATCCTGCAGAAACCTGGGCAGGGCTTGGGATATCCAACAAAATGCCCGATATATACAAAGATGGGTTCCCCTAGTGTTAGATTGGCGTAGAATAACTCATCCAACCGTAGATAGATCCAACAGAAATCCGCATATTCCTAATCTAGCTACTTATAGACCAACTTGCCTATCTAGTGAGGGCTTCGCACTTGTACTAAAAACAACTCCAACCTAGAGGAGCTACTAAAATGGCTAGGACACACCTCAATCCATTTTGACTCATTTTGCCCATGTCTGTTGAAGAATTGTTTATTTTGCACATTGTGTTGCTTGAAAACTGGAAAAACAATCCATATATTCCAAGTCTTGATGGCCATGATCATCTCTTGGGGCCGTAACAGTACTCGACACCCATCTCACGGTAAGTTTGGTAGTCCTCTATTTGCACTGCGAAATGACTGACTACCAGTATAAATCCATGAAAATCTGGCACATGTTTCTTAAATCCCTAGTTGGTGATGGTTAAATCCTCAATGTTCGGCTTAATCTGAATGTTTTATGCTTGAATTCTCCAATCTGCTCGATGGATAAGTCCTGAAAGCTCATTTAAAAATATCATATAAACCTGAATAATCTCATAAATATGTGTATATATATACACACACACTGTATGCATATATGTATCCGATACACGCCGATACCCTCGTAATTTAACATAGCCATGGAAAATCACCATGCTTCATTGGGAACATCATCATGTTTATCATCTAAACTCTGTCATTGTCCATAACTTTGTAATAAATTCCCATATTTATATATATACTTATAAAAATGCCATATAAATCCTGTATAACTCCCATAAAACTGCCGTATTTTTGGTCGTCCAAGGAGCTCTTTCTTCACCTTCTTCGTCTCCTCGCTGAGTGACACCGAAGCGATGTGCACCTGTTGTGAATCGCTGCCCGCCAGAGCCGCGATGAGAGTGTGCAGCTTCGGCTCCAGATGCTCGGCAATCTGCACAAAATTATCGGGAATTCTATGGGATCGTTCTGGGAATTTCTATGAATTAATAGATGTTTTGATATAATATATAAATGAATATGTGTTAACATATGATAATATAATACATGAATTAACTATATTAAATCAATAAGGGAATAATGTGTATATATATATTTATGATTATATATATATATATGTATTTTATATGATTATAACTATATAGATAGTATACATGTGGATTAATAATGGGAAAAAATAATGGTCACAAACATATGGGATAAATAATGGAATATATAATGAATCTATGGGATAATGGATATAATATGAAATATATATATATATATCGATCCCAAATAAAATTACCTGAAATAATTGGGATAATAGATACTGTATCTATCCCAAGGACCGTTGTCCCATGGGAATGTACTGTAACCCATATCTGCTGATATGTGTGTGAAGTATATGGGATAAATAATCAGATAATATATGATTGACTAAAGATAATGTAGAATGTAAGGTAATTACATATCGGATAGACTTGACATAGTCATAAAGATATACATGTGTTTTATCTGCTGAACTAATGATATAATATATGAACATGGGAAACATATATATATATACATATAGGATATATGAGTGTATAAATATGTATATGTATAATATATATATATATATTATATATATGTTTCTCTATATATATACACATATATATATACACATATATATATATATATGGAGCAGTTTGGGAAGATCTTCTCAGGTCCACTTTTTGTAGCTGGAAATAGATATCCTTCTGTAACAGGGATGTAAAGGGGATGCAATGGATCAAAGGGTATATGGGCCTGGGGCCTGGGGATATGTCTTTTTAATGGGTATAACATGGTATAACTGTATAACCAACCAATAAAAAACCGGTAGAATGATTTCCATTTACAGTAACCTACCAGTTTCTTTTGGGGATGTCACCAATGAATACGAACGCGGGATTCACAGGCCAATTTAAGGGGATGTCATTAAACATAATTTGATCGTCAATAATTGGGTTCAATCAGTGAATAATGGATATATACATGTATACAACCAACCCTAATGGAGATGACAACGGGGATATAGTGAATGATTATATATACCGTATATATTATGGTAGCCAACACTATGATTTCAATTTAAGAAAAGTGGCGATATAATAGTATAAAACCAACCATATAATGGGAATGGGAATATCATGGAATACCTCAATGATAGATTTGCATAGATGTTTCCAAAACAAAACTTCCAAAATAACCAAGCGCTGGAGATATAACGGGCAATTGATCCTTCCCTTCAATGATGTTACAATGGAACGGTCAAGTCATTGCCCATTTTCCCCTTTGGAAGACGCGAGGGAAAATTCCATCAATGGTGGACACTCTATTTGGGAAATCTCAGGAAAGTTCGGGAAATCCCCTGACACCTAGAAAAACTGAATCCGAGCAAATGTCGGTTTTTGCGGTCGGTTTACTGAGGTGTCAAAAAACAGGAAACAATAGATCAATCAATAACAGAGCCACAAAGTCGTTCCACTTACTGCAAGATTTTGCTTCAACAGGATTCATCTACATAAATTCCAGGGATGCCACCCGTTGGGCCTCATCAAACATCGCTTGAGAGATGGGCGGAGGCACCAAGGGGTCCCTGAGGAAAATCACTGTGAGCTCAGCTCGTTGACTCGTGGGAAAATCTACAGGAAAGGTTTAAAATAACCCAGCCAAATATTAAATATGATAAATATATATAAATATGGGATATATAGGCCCAAACATGTTATATTTATGAAATGTGACATGTGTCTGGGACTGGTGTGACTTGATGTTGTGATCCTCTGATTTCAGGGGAAATGTTACATTGGACTCTTGGCTGACTGGTGCGGATGACGGAAGGTGACAGATATTTTGAAGGCTCAACCAACAGGGGTTGGTAACTGTCCCATTTTGGGAATATTGAACATCACCTTATAGTAGCCATGGCATTGACAATATACCATTCATGGTTGGGTGATGTGACCCATGGGGACATCAGTCATGACCCATGGACCAAATTTCTAGGTCGGTCATGGTGAGTCATAGGTCGGTCATCCAATTCTTGAGAGTCCACGGCCAGAAGCATGTGAAACCTTCTGTCGAGCTACCACTTAGCATCATTAGGGCCAATACTACTCAACAATTACCTCCATTCAACAACGCACATTTCAGGACTCAAAGAGGCTCATGACATTCTTCAAATCTTGGAGGCCCAAAGACAAACATGAAACACAGATTTCCAAGATTTGAATTTCATGCCGAACACTTTTCTATGGATTTTTTCATGGCCCATGGCATCCATTTTGGAAATCTCCCAGCTTCCAGGATTCCGACCTGGATCCAAACTTCAGACGCATCTCCGATTCCTGCAACCCCAAGGGGGTGAACGAATGAACGAAAGCTGAGGTGAAAATATGAAGTTCATGTGGCAGATTGCCATTCAGCCTGGAAACATGATGGGTGATGAATACAGATTGCCATTGCCTAGAGACCTGGCAAGATTTGAGCCCGTGACCATCTGCTTCCAACACCGCTTAGTAATGCCCCTGGAGATCAGGGGGGTTTGGAGTGAAAAATCACTGTGTTCGACTCAGACCTGCCCCTCCCCTTGCCGAAGCAAGAGTAACTCGAAAAAAGTGAAAGGTTGGAAACCTGGAAATATGGTGGGAAAATATCATCGAACTATATAACATCCTGGAAACGCACACTTTTCGGCCTCTTTTTGATTCTTTTTGGGGTTGCGAAAAACGCTATCCAAACCTCCAGAAAGAATTGGAGGGCAGGGTCACGCCCCGGCTCCCAGGGCTCCCAGGGCTCCCAGGGCTCCCAGGGCTCCTGCAACACAGTGGCAAGGGAAACAGTGGTCCTCAGCGAAACGACGATTTGATCGATGAATGGCTGATGCTTTAACCAACCCGAAATCTGGATATAGGCAATCAGGGGTTGACTGGGTTGACTGGGTTGACTGGGTTGACTGGGTTGACTGGGTTGACTGGGTTGATATGAGGAGACAATGGTCTCTACTGTCAATGGTGGGTTTCCTGCAAGTGTTCCTTTCATCCAAGTGTGGTTTGATTAAACATGCCTTCATGCTGTGGGTTGACAAACCCATTATCACGGGATAAAACCTGGCAAAGGTGCTAGCGGTTGGCAAGGAGCCATACATATAGGTCTGTCCAAAAAGAGATAAGAATAGAGGATACCCTAAAGCTACAATTTTAATGGGGAATATGATAGTAACCCATTCAATTTGAGGGTATCCTGCTTTCAAACAAACCTACATTGTGTATCATCATCCACCTATGTCTTGAGAAAATTCAGCGGTTACCCCTCTATTAACCCACTAAATAAAAGTTAAAAGGACATTGGAGCTCCAACATATTTTATTTTTTTTACACATCTTCTCTCACTTTTTTGGAGATGTTTCGTTCCAGACATCTTCGCACAGGCCACTGATTGAACTCGTTCTGAAGGATGAAACGCACAGCAGCCTCTTGGCTCCAACTCCTCAACAGACCCACCTCCGTAATCAGTCCCTGAGCGCGGATCTGGGATCTCGAAGGCTTTTGGGCTTTCGGCTTTTGGATGGAAAACATTGGAAAACCCTCAACTAGTTTTTTGGCGCTTCAAACACCTGCATGTTCTTCTTAAAATCAGCTGAATATTCGTCACATGTATCATATGTATGCCAGACACTACAACATGTTCAATTCCCTAAGAGTAAACATAGTGACATGCTCGAGTTACATGGAATTGATGTTTTAGGTCATCCATCATGAATGGAAATCCGCATTCAAAGAGCATGTTACAGTGATCCCTATGAAAATGGAGGCCCGTTGGTAACGTAATCATCTTGCAGCACCGATGTGCTGCGCTAAGCATTCCCGCCTGCCATTGTTCTTTGGAGAAGGTCACAGGGCCACAGGTGGTATTGAGTCCGCTGAACCTGAAGTTTCAGCGCATCTTTTGCGATGCCCTCTAGTTATTAGAGGTAGCTATGCAAAATGGCCCATTTATACATGATTCATCGTGGTTTACCGATTTACCTATAAAAATGGTGATTTTCTATAGCTATAATAAATAACTAGAGGGTAAGTTTCAATTGTTTGATATCCTGCGTTTTGCCATTCGGATTTTAATGGGTTTATAGTTTATACTAGGTGTTGCTATAAGCTCCATAAGCCTAGATTTTGGTTTTATGTTAGCTTGAGTCGAATACATACACAAAACAACACACAGTTTCCCAAACCACATCTCTAGATCAGGAATCCACCGGGTTTGCCAAGATCTCTATTACAGATTTCGATGTTTCATCATCAATCCCGATGTTTGTTGATGATCATTCCATGTTGCCTTATCTTTTCCCTGGCTGCTTCGAGTCTCGGCTCTGTTACCCGCTCCAGTTTTGGTTATCCTAACAAACAAAAGAACAGTCCCTTTACTCGTATTTGCTTCCCAGGTGATTTTCTCCTGGCAGAACCCAAATGTCTTCTTTGTTCGTGAATAACTCCCTTGGTGTTCTACGTAAAGAAAAAATAGTTTAAATCCGCATAGTAGTACATAGTGCTTATATTCATCCCGATAATGCTGCTGCTGCTGCTGCTGATGATGATGATGATGATGATGATGACGATGACGATGATCATGGTCATCATCATCATCATCATCATCATCATCAACAACATCATCGTCATCATCATCATCATCATCGTCATCATCATCATCATCATCATCAATCATCAATCATCAATCATCATCATCTTCGTCATCAATATATGGATCAATCATCATCGTTGAAGCTGCTGAAGCAAAATCATTGCCCTCTTCATTGGGATACACCAGTTGTGATGCCCGATTTTATCCTTATGATTCATATGATGATCATGACTATTGGAATAAACATCAGCCCTCTACGATTTCATTTCTTATATCGTATAGTGAGCGTCATTAAAACATATTGTAACATGAACATCATCAAATTGGTGTGTCTGAAATGGGGGGATCCCCCATCCCATCCCATCCCCCAAACTTTGATATCAATTGAAAAAATGATGATTTTCAACAACCTACCAAAATTCTAGTTGGTTAATCAAAATTGATCATGGCGAGGAGGAATCACCAACGTCATTGTCATCAAATTGAACACCAGTATCAGTTATACTATTCACAAGGTCATATATCCCATGTCCCACTGCAATCCACTGTATCTAATTATATGCTCATGAAAATATATTGTCAAGTCTTGTGTTTGATTGTCAAATCCCAGATAAATTGCATATTTGGGGGATAAATCGCATGTTCATGGTAAAAAACAAAATTCAGCTGGTTAATTCTTTATGTTTCACTCTTATATGCCACAAATATCTATATTTTCATGGGTGAAATCCATTTTAATGGTAATATTGTACAAAATTGGTTGCTCAGATTACAATTCTTAATGATTATACGTACCCCTATGGAACCTTCATATCACAGTGTTTCTGATATTCTATGAAATATCAAGTGTATCCTAGATGTTGAATATATCCATGTTGAGAATAGTTACTTCCTTGGCCATAGTTACAACGTTCTATCCCTATCCCCAACTATGTCCTATCTAGTTGGTGGTATAAAACATATGAAAACAGTATTTGAACCCCGCAACATTTGATGGTTAAGAATCGCCCTTATGATCGTGGTTGTTGGTGTTTTTTTCAGCCATTCATGATTTGCCCTTGGCCAGAGGGGTTGGCTGAATGCAGCAACCAGCATTGAAACCTTACAAAATATGGATAATCAACTACTATAGATAATGAAGAATGGATCTATTATCAATAGAGCTACTAACTAATAGATTGTCAACTAGATAACCCATATATATATATACATAGAACGGATATACCTTGAAATAACTATATCTGTTCTACCCTTGTAGAATATAACTATGTGTCTTCATTATATCCCAGTTTTATGCAATGAACATATATACAATATTATACAATACCATATGTATAATAATCATGATATCCAACTTTCGCGAAACTTTCACGAAAAAAAATGTTACTTTCGCGAACTCGAAAAAAACACTTTCGCGAGGGGTTCCAACATAACATGCACGGCTTTCGCAATTAAAACTCCTTACAAGGACCTTTAGATCGACCACCGTGTATAAATATATAATATATATATATATACTGGTTGGTGGTATACCTACCCCTCTGAAAAATGATGGAGTGAGTAACAGTTGGGTTTTTTCATGACATTCCCTTAACGTTCCAAACCGTCGGCCGGGCCACTGATTCATGGCCAGCTCCATGTCCTTGACCACCTCGGGCATCCGCATGACCACCTCCTGGAGCCACGCGGCGTCGCCCAGGGCCACCTTTAACGCGGCGATCTCCATCAGCTCGTACTGCGTTAAAACGGCCGCCATCTGCCTGGATGGCGAACCGGAAAACGTTCCAAAAACCGCTGAAAAATGGCAGGTTCATGGGATTTATAGAGAATTTTTTAGAGGGTTGATGATGAAATTTGCGCTCTAATTGTAAGATGGAAGCTAGGAAGTTAAACGAGATTTGTGAGATTTATCGGATTTATATGAGAGTTATATAGGAGTTACCCTTCGGTAGATGGGAAAATCCAGAACTAGCCATGGAGGTTTCTAGATGGGAAGGTCATCGATGGGTGATTTTCAAGCCAGCCACGTTTGATTACCGGAGGGTATATGGCAATTATACGGGCTTAAGACTATTGAACAGTAGGATTTAAGGCGAAACGTCTATGGAATCTAGAAACATGTATTGGTATATAGACATTGAGATTAAACATGTTTTAAGCCAATGAATAATAGACATATTTGGTTGTAAAATGTTATAAATGTAAAACCAAGACAAGGGAGTTGGCCACACATATTGGAAATGAAAATCGTGGATTTGTTCATCAAAGTGTGGATTTAGGCCAGAAGACATTGGATTCAAGCAAAACACAAAATATTGAACAAAGATTTTTCAAGGTAGGAATAATGAATAAAAAAGCTTTTAACGTTGTGATTTTGAGCCAGGGCGTTGGATGTAAGCCATAAGCAGTGTTTCATTAAAAGAAAGCCATTTGAATCGGGGATTCAGCGTGAGACATCTGAGACCTTGGGTCAAAATTCGGCTTCAAAGTATGTGTAGATATTGATATATATATATAATGTATAGGATGATCAACGGTGCCCAAAATCTCCTGGACCAGACCGAAGTACCGAAGTGGAGTATCCCAAATGACATCTCTTGAGCCAAGTTTCTGGACTATACAAATGTTGCTGGTGTAGGGCACTGCAGGATAATCTCCAGAGGCTGGATAGCCCTTCATCAGTTTCCAGTGATTGCTCACAAAGCTCTGCCTCGTATAATTGAAGCGGATCCAACTGTTCCTGGCGAGAAACGATCGGATCTTGATCCTCCATGAGACCGAGGGTAGAGCATCTCGAGCAAAGGATGGTTTCATAACTGGCTTCATAAGCAAAAGCAGCCATCAATTATTGGATCAGAGTTGATATTTGAAATTCAATGATACCCTCTGGTAAACTAACATAGCAATGGAAAATCACCATTTTTAATGGGAAAATCCACTATAAATGGCCATTTTCAATAGCTATGTTAAATTACCAGAGGGTATGCATGATTCGTGTTTAATGATAGCTGATAACATCCCCATTGTTTTGCCGTGGAAAATCGTCTGATTTGGTGTAACTCCTTCCATGGATGTAGCCCTTCAAAACCACCAAAAAGGGCCATAAAAGATGAGGCCACATTCCCACCATGTGAGCTGGACTTGTATCGGGGCATGTATTATAAACATAATATATATATATATGATTATATATGTATGTATTTACGTTAAATATGCTGTCTCTCTCTATATTTATATTTATATTTATATTTATATTTATATTATATTATATTATATTATACATATTTAGATATTCAACCGCCCAACAAAAACAACTGATGGATCCAAGCCATAGCGTCTGTGGGTCGTAGCCGTAGCTGAGGAAGGAGGTCTCCTTGGCCAACTTGGCAATGGCCGTGCGCTGGGCACTGGCGATGTCCAACTGGTAGACCTAAGTGGTGGGACATCGCCATGGAACTCCATGGGAAAACCATGGGATTTTCCCATCATCTATATATAATATATATATAATATATATATAATATAATATATATATATATATATCTAATATTCATCTATCATAGAAAAGTGAAAAACCTGAAAATGGTTGGAAAACATCATCGAACTAGCATCCTGGAAACTGGGAACACTTTTGGGCATCTTTTTGGGGGTTACTGCGGATGGGGAAATGATGATTTTACCAGGGCTAGCAGCTAGCAAGGGGGTTCATGCACCGTAATGTGGTTTAGACATGTTTAACATAGGCTTGGAATATGACAAGAAAAAAAGGGTAGTGTCACAATCAAACATGGGAGTTACTGACAATGCATGAAGCTTGTGGTCTTTAG